CATCACTCATGTTTCACTTTACACATCATATATTTCAATTCCTCCTATTTTTTCTCGGAATTTTGAAGAGAAAAAAATTGACAAAAATCAAAGAAAAGATTGAAAACTGATAAAGAAAAATATGAGAAAAATGCAAAATGTGAAGTGGAATGTAGAATATGAATGATGTGTCATATGATATGTTTACCACACGATTTTTTCGTTAATTAAAATTATGGAAAATATTAAAGTGACTATATTTGGTACATTTATGAAACTTAAGTGATCTATTTGGGACAAATTAAACTTCAGTGACCAAATTAGGAAATGAGTTCAGTGACCATTGATGAAATTTACTCTAATTTTAAGTACTAGAGAAATATACAACAAACCATATTCAATATTGTTAGTCCAATTTCCTTTTCTTTAAATATAGATATTAGTATATTACTCTATCTCGTTACCTACTTGTTGCAGCATATTTGCCTTGTTAACTTGGTCACCTAGGAAATTATGAAAGCTCAAAATGCTGAGAGCTTCTTCTATCCTAAGAAACCTCGAAAACCTACGTCTCCCTTCATACTTTGCCTTAAGGTTCAAGAAGTTTCATGCGAGATCTTGACCTGTTGGCATACATGTTTTAAATCTTGTCCCATGCACCTTTACTAGAGGTGCAAGATGAGAAGATAGGTACCACAGTTTCTGTGCTGAGGCTATAATGCCATGTAATAGCAGTTGATCTTGCTTTATCTAATAGTCATACTTAGGATTTGGAATCATCACAGCAGGGTTATCAGTTGATGCAATTTGAGATGAAGGACAGGTCTTGGAGCCGTCGGTGTAACTTGTCAATTTGTGGCAGTTAAGAGGGAAGTAAACTAAGCCCTCCAGGATGAGAAATTTTGAGGATTGCACAGCAGCATTGATGGTGATGAGTGGAGGAAGACCATTTATTTGATGAATTGTCTGGCTATTTGTGTTGAGAAGGTTTTGGCTAGTGGAAGAAGCATCAGATTTGGCTGACATTTTGTTGAGAAAGGACAAAGAAAAGAGGAGAATTTAGAGTTGAGAAATTTGAGAAGAGAAAAAAAAAACTCAGAATTTAGGGTTTAGAATTTCTGACTCTTGATTCCATAACAGAACCGAGATTGAGAGAATAATTTGAGGTAGAAAGGCATAGTGTTTTTGTATTGAGTGTATCAACTATATAGTACCGAGTTGGTTACAAAGGATAATGATAGGCTTTACAATTTTAATTATCTATACTATATTAAAAAGTACGTTCACCTGTAAAACTTTTGAATCGCCTATTATACCCTTATTTGTCAAATATATTTCTATACTGTCATTTAGTTTTAAATATTGTTTATTTATTTATATTTATTATTCACATTTACCGTATATCTCTTGATTAATATGGATTACTAATAAAATTTAATTTGATTAGCAATTATTACCTAACTAGACTACTACTCTTACTATATAAAATTTGATTTGATTAACACTACTCTTACTATACAATATAATATAATGTAAAAATTAATTAACAATATCCTTATCAAATTTTTTGTTTTCTTTTTTTTTTTCCGAATATCCCAGCTTTATAATTTATAATGTAAAGTCGGATTATTTTGTTCAACTCTCAAGAATTAATATATCCGATTAATATAACTTTGGAATTGGACTAATAAAATTTAATTTGATTACTATACAATATGGATGAAATTTTATGTTCACTATACTTCCTCTATTTTTTGTCTTCTTATCAAATTAAACTACTATTTAATATATATATATATACTATATATAAAAGTACGAGTTTTGAGAAACTTTTGAAATGTCTATTGTACCCTTATTTAACTTTTAAAATACCTATTATATCCTTACTTATCTAACATATTTCTAAAAATTGTCATTATACAATTAATTTTTAAATTTTGTTAATTTTCATTTAATTAAATCTACAAAATATATATTTTTCATTAAACAAATTACTTATATTTCAGTATTTATTTTCTTTGCGTTGGGTTACCAATTGATAAGAATATGGCTCTGCACTTTAATTTCTCTCTTGCAAGCTTCCATTTCTTTTTCTTTTTCTTTTTTTTTTGCAAACTTCCCAACTCTCAAATTCTCAATACTAGATAATTAAATGGATTGAACAGAGAGAAAAAACGAAAATGGCAATATTTCCTCTCCTGTGGGTCTATTCACCGTTATGAGAATTTATAAAGACAAACCATTATTTTCATGTTTTCATGTACAAAGGGGCACAAAATCCAAATGCAGTTTACATACAATAGGGTTTGAACAAAAAACCATTAGGTTTTAAGAAGTACTCCATCAGTCCCTAATTAGATGTCCACTCTTGGTCAACTAACACTAAACTTTGACTATTGTTTATAAAAAAAATATGTAAAATTTAATTTTAAAAAAATATGTGCTAAAAAGTTTGTAATTCAAAGTTTATAAGTGTTATTTTTAAAAATTATTTTGATTTATATATTTTTTTATAAACAATGGTTAAAGTTTAGCCTTGTTGACCAAGAGTGGATATGTAATTGGGGACAGAGGGAGTATGCACTTACCATTGAGCTAATGACTCAAGTGCAATGATTTTTTTTTTTTGGCAAAGTCATTTATTAGTATTTATTTAATGTGTGCCCCAATGTTTTTGAAACCGGACCGGCAGTGGAACCGGTGAAGGCTCCGGTCGGCGGTTTGATCGGTCCAACCGGTTCAACCGCCGGTCCGGTTTGATAAGGGTATTTTATGGAAATTGTTGAGATTTTACCTTTTAAATATTATATATGGTAGATATATGACACATAAAAGCATTTGGAGTAGTGGTACAAGCTTGTTTTTTGTTTCCCACAAGGTTGTGGGTTCAAAACTCACCTCCTTCAAAATATTTTACAAAAATTTCAAATTTCAAAACCGGTTTTATCCGGTCAAACCCGGTTCAACCGCCGGTCTAACCGGTTTTTTCACAGTTGTTGACCATGTTGACTAACCGCGGTTCCCACACCTTCAAGGACCGGACATGCCATCGGTTCCCGGTTTAACCGGTCCGACCGGCCAGTCCGGTCCGGTTTTTAAAACAATGGTGTGCCATTTATTTATTTATTTTATGTTTTTATGAACAATATTTAGTGATAATTTCACAAAGATTAAGCTTAAATTAAAAAAATATAGGGTAAGTAATGAAACTTAAGATTTATTATTATAAGGTTTTTAGTTTGAAAATAATCACACTAATTATGTTGCAAAAAAAAATAATAATAATCACACTAATTCTTTATGTACAATTGATGGGTCAAACGGTCCAACCGTCAGGTTATATAATGTAAAAGTAATTAACAATGTCCTTATCAATTTTTAATTTTTTTTTCAAATATCTCAGTCTTATAATTTATAATGTAAAGTCGGATTATTTTGTTCAAGAATTAATATAATTTTAATTAATAATATCCTTAAATCAATTTTTTTGTTTTTTTTTCCGAATATCCAAATCTTAAAATTTATAATGTAAAGCTGGATTATTTTGTTAAAGAATTAATATATCTTATTAATATAATTTTGGAATTGGACTAATAAAATTTAATTTGATTACTTTTTTTGAGATAAAATTTAATTTGATTACTTTTTTTGAGATAAAATTTAATTTGATTACTATATATTAATATGGATGAAATTCTAATATAGATAAAATTTTATACTTAGTATACTATACTCACAATGGATAACGTGCAACGCACGTGGAAGTGAAAATTAGTATATATATATATATATATATATATATAAAGTTTTCCTCATCAAAACTTATCTTCTATACCTTCTCTAACTCTCTAACCCGTAAGTTATTTTTCTTCCGCAATAATTCAAAGCCCAAGCCTACAGAATCTACCTGTGAAGTTGAATGACATAAAGGTTAGCACAGGTTAAATTTTTTGCCTCTCTTGATAAATTTTATGTTACTGATATTGAATTCTATTTTTGGCGAAATTATTTGCTGGAAATTGAAATGGTTTTACTTTCTACATTGGTGGGTGGTTTTAGATTGTGATTTTTGGATTTTTATTTAATGCTTGGACTATTGATGAAAAACTTAAGTCAGGTGAAAGATCTTTTGTGTTTAATTTGTTACGTTTATCATGAAGAGATCAATTCAATTAGTTTTGCAATTAAATATTGTACAATTAGAAACCTTGTGAAGTTGTGTTGTGGATTAATCTTAATCTAATTCATGTAGGATTTCTGATGGACTTAAAGTATAACGGAAGATTAGAAGAATGATTTTAAAATCATAGCATTAGCATAGATAAGAACTCAACAAATCTCCTGATAAGTGGAATTTATTTGCTAATACTTATATTTAGGAAACCATTGAAACACCTCTTTCGGTAACTAATTGATTTAATCTTTATGAAGGTACCAATAAAACTCATCTGCACAAAACTCCTTGGTGTCTTATTCATCCAGACATGTTAAAGGAAGTGTATGTTTTCTAACTTCAGCTCTTCTTTTGGTTTGTTGATTAGAACGGTTTCATTTTTCTAATCCACATGTCTTTGGTTACCTCCTCTTCATCTTTGATGTATGGATCAAACCAAGTCCACAAAGTCTTTGGATCTACTGCATATCTCAAGTAGAGAAATCCAATTGCTCTTATGTAAGGAGAAATCACATGTGTTTATTAAGTTATATTTTATGGTTTGTTGTATTTGTGGGAGTGGGACATATACATATATAATATTATCCTCTAAATCGAGTATTGTATTTCTTACCTAGTATTTTACTAATCCAATTATGCAAGTCATTTATTATGTTTATAGGAATTATTTTGTCTATAAAACGTCACTTTATGGTATTAATGCAAGTATTTTTTTTTTAAAATGCAACCCATGACCTCACGATCCAGATACGGTGCCAGTTGAGTTAACAACTCGGGTGCTTATTTAATTTTTTGTTTTAATTAATGATTTTCTTATCATTTAAAGTTATTTTTTAAAAAATTGTTCATGTGCGCTGAACCACGTGCAAAGCACATGAAGGTGAAAACTAGTATGATAAAATACAGAGACAAGGGTTCGGGCCTCTGCTGTTCAACATATTCTGCAGCGTCTACCTTTTGATAGGTTTTTTGACTCGAGTACAATTGGTTGCAGAGGTGGGATTTGGTTGCTCTGGAAGTCTGACAAATTAGAGCTCGACTTGATCGGGTCTACGGAGCAAGAAATCCACGCCACTGTTAAGGTAATTTCCTCAAATTTAGTTTGGTTTTTGTCTGCTATTTATGCTAGTCCTAGGGCTGCTGAACGTAGAATTTTGTGGAATAATCTCTGCATTGTTGCTGATAGTCATACTTTGCCTTGGCTTATTACTGGTGATTTTAATGATATTATCAACTCTCATGATAAAAGGGGAGGAGCCCCTATGTCGTTGAGTAGAACTAGAGCTTTCCTTAACTGTCTTAATTATTGCAATGTTACTGATTTAGGTTTTAAGGGGCCTAGGTTTACTTGGTCTAATAATAGAAATTTGAGTCAATTGATTCAGGAAAGGATAGATATGGCTTTTGCCAATCCTGATTGGAGGCTTATGTTCTCTGATGCTTATGTGTCCCATCTTCCTAGGACACATTCTGATCACTGCCCACTTTTAATTTCTTTCTTTAAAAATCAGGTGGAAAAGGGCAATAAACCTTTTAGATTTCAGAAAATGTGGTTTAATCACCTTGACTTTTTCCCTCTGGTTCATAGTAGTTGGATCGGAGTTGAGGGTGATCTTAGTAATAGATTAAACAATGTGAAGGAAAATCTTAAGTTTTGGAACAAGCACTCTTTTGGCAACGTCTTTCGTAAGAAGAAAAAGCTCCTTGCTAGACTAGCTGGTGTGGAAAGAGAGATCGATATCAGCCATTCTCAATTTTTGCTTGACCTCCATAAAACTTTATCTCAAGAATACAAGGCTATCCTCAAGGATGAGGAAGATATTTGGGCCATGAAATCTAGGGTAGATTGGCTCAATGATGGTGAAAGAAATACAAGATTTTTTCATGTTTCAACCTTGGTCAGACGCAATTACAATAGGATTCTTAGGATCCAAGATGCTAATGGTGTGTGGACTGACAATTTGGAAATTATTAAAGGCATTATCCAACAGCACTTTGTTAGCCTCTTTACCACTTCTCATTCTGATACTTCGAGGGTTTATAATTCTGGTCCTAGGAAAATTGTTGCTTTAGATGATTCAGCTCAGACCAGCCTTATTACCCCTATCTCAGATATCGAAATTCAGAAAACAGTATGGTCCTTCAAGCCCCAAAAAGCCCCTGGACCAGACGGATTACACCCATGCTTTTTCCAAAGATGTTGGGGTATTTTAAAAGAAAAATTTTGTGGTGATATCAGGGAAATTTTTTCAAAAAAGGAAATGCCCAAGGGGCTTAATGATACCTTAATTTCTCTCATTCCCAAAATTCCTAATCCTGAAAAGGTTGGTCATTTTAGACCAATTGGCCTTTGTAATTTTGACTACAAGGTTGTTACAAAGCTCATTGTTAGAAGATTAAGGCCCTTTTTGAATGATATGATCTCTCCTTATCAGGCCAGTTTGATCCCAGGCCGAAATGGTGTGGATAATGTTATTTTGACCCAAGAGATTATCCATTCTTTTAACAAGAAAAAGGGCAAAGCTGGTTTTATGGCTGTTAAGCTTGACTTGGAAAAAGGCTATGACAGGCTTGAATGGGGGTTTATTAGGAAGGTTTTAACTTTTTTCAAAATTCCTACTGAACTTTCTGATCTCATTATGAGCTGTATTTCTTCTTCTAGGATTTCGGTGTTTGTTAATGGGTTTGCTATGGATGATTTTTGCCCTTCTAGAGGCATTAGGCAAGGGGATCCTTTATCCCCCTACCTCTTTATTATGTGCATGGAATTCCTTAGCCTTAGTATCTTGGAAACTTATGATAATAAGAATTGGCAACCTGTTAAAATCTCTAGGAACAACCCTGTTTTCTCCCATTTGATTTTTGCGGATGATATTGTTTTGTTTGGTAGAGCGGATAAGAAAACTGCTACTGCTATGGTTAATGTCCTTTCTCTATTTTGCAATGAGTCTGGCCAATGCATCAATTTAGAAAAGTCTAAAGTGTTCTTTTCCAAAAACACTCCTATGTCTCAAAGAACCAACATTGTTAATATCCTGGGTGTTAATGAAACCTATGATCTAGGTAGATACTTAGGCTATCCACTTCATACCTCTAGGGTGAAAAAAGATGATTATTTGTTTATTGTTGACAAAATGAGAGGGAAACTTGCTGGGTGGAAGTCTAGGCTTTTATCTACTGCTGGGAGACTAGTTTTGACGCAATCTGTGCTTGAATCGATTCCTGCTTATTCAATGCAGTGCAGGGCTCTTCCTGCTTCCATTTGCAATGAAATTGATCAAATTTGTAGGAACTTTCTTTGGGGGGAGGAAGAGGGAAAGAAAAAACTCCACCTTTTAAATTGGAAGGATGTCACAAAACCTAAGTATGCTGGTGGTCTGGGTTTGAAAGAAGCTAGGCTCTTTAATAAAGCTATCCTAGGCAAACTGGTTTGGTCCTTTAAAAGAGACCCTAACACTTTATGGGCTTCATCTTTGACTGCCAAGTATGGAAATGATCTCAATATTAAAAATAAGTCTAGTTCCCTTACTTGGAGAGCCATGGTTTGGGCGAATGAACTTGTTGAAAATGGTACTATCAAATCGGTGTACAGTGGCAAAGAAACTTCCTTTTGGTTCGAGGATTGGACATGTTTGGGCACCATTAGATCTTTAGTTCTTGGCCCCTTAAATTTTGGAGAAGAGTTTCTCACAGTTGAACAATTTTTCTCTCAAAATCATCTTTTTTCCTTTTCTCTTCCCCATGATATTTTCTCTGTCATCATTGCTACACCCTTGCAAACCTTTGTTAGCAAGAGTGACACTTTCCTTTGGAAAGCTTCAAATGATGGTCAATACACTGTTCAGTCTGCTTATAATTTGGCTAAGGGTATTGGACAAGTTGACCAATTTTGGAAATGGGTTTGGAGTCTCAAGTTTCTACCCAAACTCAAGTTCTTTCTTTGGGAAGTTATCCTTGGAATTGTTCCTACTAGATCTCTATTATTTCATAGGGGCTTCATTGTTAATCTCTCATGCCCTTTCTGCAATTCTGAGGAAGAAACTCTTCAACACCTTTTTCGAGATTGTATTGTGACCCAAACCTTTTGGCAACAGGCTGGTTTCATTTTCCAGCCCACCTCTCCCTTTGACTTATGGTTGAAAGACAATCTTCTTCGAAAAGATTACCATCAAAACCCTTCTATCCCTTTCTCCTTGTTATTTACCCACCTGTTATGGGAAATTTGGTTGGAAAGGAACCAAGTTGTCTTCAAAAATGTAAGAGTAAGGGAAAATCTTGTTTCTAGAGCTTTTAACAAAGCTGTTGAGTTTTTCTCCTTGACTGGCAGAATCAAACGTGTCCAGTCCATATCTGCCCCAGTGTCTTGGAAACCCCCTGACCAGGGCTGGTTTAAAGTAAATTGTGATGGTTCCTCGCTAGGGAATCCGGGAAAGGCAGGAGCAGGCTCTTTACTAAGAGATGAAATGGGTAACTGGATTGCTGGTACTTCAAGACATATTGGTAGAGCTTCAAATTTTCTTGCTGAATTGTGGGCTTTGAAAGATGGTCTTGCTTTAGCAAAATCTTTGAATGTCAAAAAGATTATTGTGGAACTTGATGCAACTGCCATAATTTCTGCTGTTACTTCTCAATATGACACTAACACAAATGTTAAATATATGGCTATTATTGATGAATGCATGTGGATGTTGAAGCAGTTTGAGCAAGTTAAAATTTGATAGAAAAATCTAGAAGGGAAAAATTACCTCATCTTTATTTGAGACTTCATATATATATATATACACAATGTAATGCAGGCCCAAGCAATATATAAAAAGGCCCAACTTCCTAAGCCCAACAAAGGTCAAATATACAAAATGTTAATTAAGCTATATACATTAACAGCCCCCCTCAAACTCAAGATAGTTCAAAATGAAACATCTGGAGTTTGGAAACTAAATAATGAAAACGAGTAGTTGTATGAGACTTTGTCAATAGGTCAGCCACTTGAAATTCAGAAGAAATGTGTGGCAACTTGATTGTGCCTTTACGTATCTCTTGTCTGATGAAATGGCAATCCACTTCAATGTGTTTCGTCCGCTCATGGAAAGTATCATTCTGAGCAATCTGTATTGCACTTTTGCTGTCACAAAAGAGTGGAACTGAATTAGGTGTGTCAACACCCAAATCCTTAAGCAATCGACACAACCACATGATTTCTGCTGTAGTGTCTGATAAGGCTCTATATTCTGCTTCAGCACTAGAACGAGCTACCACTGTTTGCTTTTTACTTTCCAAGAAATCAATGAATCACCAAGAAAAATACAATAACCAGTGGTAGAACGTCTATCATTAATATCACCAGCCCAATCAGAATCAGAGAAAGCACGCAATTCAAGTTTCGAAGTTGATGAGAACAACAAACCTTTATGTAATGTCCCCCGAAGATATCTCAAAAATTCTGAGAACTGTCAGCAAAAGTGAATTGTCCGAGGTGCTGTCATAAATTGGCTTACAACTTGCACTGCATGACTAATATCAAGTCTTGTAACTGTCAAGTATATAAGACTACCAACTAATTGTCTATAAAGAGTAGCATTAGTGAGAAGTCCCCCATCAGTAGCTTTTAACTTGACATTCATTTCAATGGGGGTGTCAACAATTTTATTATCAGACAATCCAGCTTTAGAAATATGATCTGAGGCATACTTCACCTGAGACAATACGTAGCCATGAGAGGAGGAATTAACTTCAATTCCCAAGAAATATCGTAGAGGACCAAGGTCTTTCATCTCAAAGGTCCTACTAAGATGATTTTTAATATCCTTAATACCAAGATCATCGTCTCCTGTTATCACCATGTCATCAACATATAGGAGTAGCAACACAATACCTCGACTAGATTGACGAATAAATAGTGTTGAATCATGAGCACTCTGCACAAATCCTGAGTCAAGCATTGTACTGCTGAATTTCTCAAACCACGCACGTGGCGCTTGTTTAAGGCCATATAAGGCTCGTCGAAGCTTGCACACTTGATTAGTTTGGCAAGACAAACCAGGAGGGGGCTTCATATAAACTTCCTCATGAAGATCTCCATTCAAAAAGGCATTCTTCACATCCATTTGTGACATATCCCAACCACGAATAGAGGCAACAGCTATAAGGGTTCGAACAGAAGTCATTCGAGCCACAGGAGCAAAGGTTTCTTCGTAGTCAATACCATATTCTTGTGTGAACCCCTTGGCAACCAACCTAGCTTTGTATCTCTCAACAGACCCATCTGATTTAGTCTTTACCTTGTACACCCACTTACAATCTACTACAGACTTTCCAACAGGCAGTTCAACAAGATCCCATGTATGAGTTTTCTCTAAGGCATTTAATTCTTCTTTCATAGCTGCTTGCCAAAGAGGATCTAAACAAGCTTCATGATAAGACTTAGGCTCATAAACAGAAAGAATAGTAGACAAGAAACAATGAAAATCAAGATAACGTTTAGAAGGAATACGCTCACGTGTTGATCGTCTAAGCTTTGGAACAATTGATTCTGAGGAATTTGGCGCTGTTGGTGCAGAATTACTTGCAGTGGAGTCAGCTGTGGGACAAGTTTCCTCTGGAACAACCTGTTCAGAAAGAGTTGAACTTTGGGGCAAAGAATATTGATTATTTTCATTCAAATCAACAAAAGGATCAAAAAAGGTAAAGACTCATGAGATTCACTGTTAGATTCACGAAAACGAGGCAATGAATACAAAGGAACATTTTCCCAAAAGGTAACATGTCGAGAGACACGAAGTTTTTGTGCAATTGGATCATAACAACGATACCCTTTTTGCCCTATACCATAACCTAAAAACACACAAATGGCAGTTTTCTGAGACAATTGATCACGTTCAACTTTGGGAAGTGAGACAAAACATGTAGACCCAAAAATACGAAGTTCAGAATAATTAGGACTAGAATTATATAGACGCTCAAAAGGAGAAATTCCTCCAATAATAGAGGAAGGAATGCGATTGATAACATACACTGAAGTAAGTACAGCTTCCCCCCAAAATCTTTTAGGAACTAAAGAAGATAACAACAAGGCTCTAGTAGTTTCCATGATATGGCGATGTTTTCTTTCAGCAACACCATTCTGTTGTGGTGTATCAGTACAAGATAATTCAAGAAGGGTACCTTGAGAAGCGAGAAACTCTTTTAAACCACCTGATTTATACTCTCCAGCAGAATCAGCACGAAGACGCTTTATAGGTTTGGAAAATTGTGTTCTAACCATGGTAGAAAAGTCTTGATAAATTTTGAACTAAAGATGATCGATGCCTGAACAAATAGAGCCAAGTGTACC